GATCTGATTTCTTAACAATAAGTAATCTCAGTTATTATAATGAACCTCAGACCAAAATCAGAGGTTTTTCTAGGTTGCATAAGTACAATCATCCAGACTTATTTGATCTCTATTTAACAGATCCAAGTCTCACAAAGTCGGTGGAGTAAACAAAAAATTCAGCGTTCTAGTTTAAATAGCAACCTGCAAGAGCAGTTGAAATGTAAAAATATTAGCATATTATATTCAGGAAGAAAAAGGGAAAAGCTCACTCAAATCCAGACCTTTTGGAGCAATTACAGATTATTTATCCTAATTCAATCCAAAGAAGACGAAGAAAATGTAGAATGGTCTTTAGCTACTACATAAATGTTGCCTTTTCTAATCCTTCTATTTCTAATTCATATTGTTACACAAAAAGTTATAGCTTTCCAGTAGCATTTTGACAAACCTGTGTAAAATGGCAGCAATTAGCATTATTGTCAACAAAGATGATAAAGTATTCTGTCAAATAAGCTTTAGCAACATTAAAATAAGGGCGAGTATATGAGGTTTAGAATCATGGCAATGACGGAGCAAGATTTGAGAAGCAGAAGAATGATGCATAGACAGTCAAGTGTGGAACACCATCTTTTGGAGTATACCACTGATTATTTGTTGCAAAGTTGAAACTACAAGGGAATCTGAAATCTTCCACAACGTTAGATTGATATTATCATTACAAAAAAATTTAGATCTTAAATGTAAACAGAAGAAAAAATAAGCAAAGAGAAAAATTTTAAGGGGGCAGTTAACAGTGAAACAAGTAAAATTTAATAAGAGCAGTAATTCAAGAAGAATTTGACCTTATACTACCTTTCTTTATATTTTCTTGTAGCTCATGCAGACCCAACAAATTCTGTAGAAATCAAGGGAATTAAACAAATATTTTGTCTCAAAATGCTGAAGTACCTTCTATTTGGGGGCAAGTCTAACAGTAGTTCTCTCGTACGCAGCAGCAAAATTGAGCATTTTTGCCTTTTTTCTTTCAGGAGCAAAAGCATCCTGTATCAAAATTCCAATAAATCTAACTTCTTGCACAAAATTCTTGTTCTTTTGAAGAAGCGGAATTTTTCCTCTTGGAAGTAGCTGACAAGGTGTAAAATACAATGGTTATTAAATCAAACAGCTATCTTATCTTCTATGTATTAATCTGAAAAGTTTTACCATCCATAATAAGTACTGTTTTGCAGTTACCTTTAGCAGAGGTGGCTTTAGATACCGGTGGTGTCAGTTTCAGGGTGTCGTTATTGGTGCTTGTAAATATAGCTAAAGTAGGTTCTTCTAAAAAGAAATATGAGGGAAATTGCTTATCAGATACCGTAGTAGTGAGCACAGATAGGTCAAAATGAGCGTACAAAAGCAAGAAAGTTCAGATCATAAAATAATATTTTATGCTTACTTTCATTTGCCTCTGAACAAAACAACTTTACCATAATGTGTGAGAAAAGACTTCGATAACTTATGATAACACAAGAAATGCAACCGCACAAGAGCTGCTTGGTCAATAATAATAAAATAAAAAATAGGAAACCAAAAAAAAGGTAGCATCATCACCAAATCACCAAACAAGAAAAAGCAAGTCAAATTATTCCTCAAACAATTGAGTACAATTTAAGAAACCAAGACAACAAAAAATCCAACTAAACCACTTAAGCAAATCAACTACTATAACATGATAACCAACTATAAATACACCAGTAAATTAACTGAAATCACACCGCTAGCTTCAATTACCAGATCAAAATCAGAAAAAGAACTGCTTCAGCTCAGGCCACGTTTAGCCAACAAAAAGAACCTCAAAGGACAAAAGTCCAACATATTAAGCATGATGGCTTTTCTTCAGTTGGTTGAAGATGCCATTCAAGAAGTACTTGAGCTTTTTCAACGGCTTCATGGATGTGAGGATACATATTCGTAGCAGTCCTTAAATGGAAGTCTCCACCAGCTCTGGAAGCATCCAACATGCTCTTGCAGTTGGCAAGATGTGTAAGAATTGTAAGTTCCGACTAATTATAAGAAAAATGTTAACATTTCGTCAATTCAATAAATGCAAACCGTTATAACTGGTAAGCATCTCGATACCTGTCAGATACAATCAAGGAATTCTCTTGAGTAGCTATAAAAGCTAGATGAATTTTGTACCTATCTTTCTCCAAAGCAAGCTGGTTCTGTATTACAAGAAGATAACCTTTGAAATAATATTCCAATGACTGATGAGTAATTTGGTGCTCACCAAAAAAAGCATGGCTAAGGTCTAATATAGGTGATGACTGATTAACATTGAAGTTAGAATAATAAACATCTTTGAAACAAAGAATTACTAAATAAAGTAATACAAAATTGTAAGAAACACAGCTAAAAACGATTTCATTAATGCTGAGTAACAACTAAGTATTCAAAGATTTCAACCTTAAACTAACATCAATATTTGGAGAATGAAGAGAACAAGAAGTAATTTTAAGCAACGTCTAACTGTTTTGACTAACCATCCTTCAAATCTGTTACCTCAAACCAGGCAAGTGTATAAATCTTTATTTTGATGTACAATTCGTGTATCATAACTCGCTATTATATAAGAAGCTTCTATAAAATAGTAACATAAACTTTTCTAATCTAAAGGCATATTGACTCACTTCGCATCTTTTAGGAATGCAGCATATAAGAGCTTTTAGAGTGGAAAAGCACTTGTTCGAGTATTTTTTTTCATAAAGTAACTGATAACACTTCTTCGAATACTTAGAAAATACCAAATAATAGTGGGCCAAAAAGCATATTATTACAAGCTCATTTTTAAACTTTTCACCTGAATTTAAACCTTATTTCAAATGACAGTTTGTCTATTATCAAATTAAGGAGTTAAATTTTACTTTACATTTTGAAAATCCATAATATAAGTAGCTTTAGAACTAATTCTGCCAAATATTAAGTAACATGCTTTTACAAAATTTCTAGTATTATATTCTTTCTCCTGGGACAACTATTCAAAAATGTACCTTCTCCAAAACTCAACGCTCCGAAACATGCTTGACTTTTACAACTGTATATAACAACCAAAAGCATGCATTTGAGGAACTCTTGAATATCTTTAATTATCGAGCCGACCCTATAACACCAACTATGTCTTATTATTCATTCTCTATTTTGGCCAGTTTCACTCTAATATTCAATAAGTTGATTGATTCAAACAAAAAATATGATAGACTACAAATGAAGGCGCAGAAGCATGTCTTACAGTGAAAAGGATGCATCCTTAAACTCTCTTCGAACCATTGATACTTCTTTTTTTCAGTCTGTCTGCTGTAAATAAAATAGTGAGATCCATAACTAACCATAACTACAGGGAAAGATGTTAATTATGACATGTGAAGAGAAAACGGAAAAATTCAAAGAGACCTTTGGAGTCCAAATTCTATTCTAAAGTCATAAGAGGATATTTTTCTTATATCACTATAGAGTACCTAATAAAAGATTGATATCAAGTCCAGTTCAAGATTGACACCAGCCAATTCAAAACCAAATAGAGAGACCCTTTCCCAATAACCAACCAGATCAAATTAGAGCAAAAACCCCCCATCTCATTCCACTGTTGAAATGGTAAATGAGGCATCACCTTTTCTTTTTTTTCTTTTTTACGAATTTCCATATGGAAATATTGGACGTGTACATCAAATTCAGCGAAAATACTTTATTGGATAAATCAAATAGAGCAAAAGAAAAATTCAATCTTGATTAAAGACTGAGTAGAAACAATAGAAAGCCAGAGAGCAACACCCAAAATAGATCCAAAACAAATCAATCTTGATCAAGGACGTAGCAAAGAATACCTTCGTAATGGCAGGAGCAAAAACATATGGTTCAGAATCAAACTCTTAAAAGCGCATGGCCTCTATAGCATTCTCAAATAGAATGTACACTGGAAGTTGGTTCAAGCCTCCTACATTAGATTTTCCAACAACAGAAAACTATTAAATCCATCTCATATAACACACGTAACGTTATAGTAAATAATAATACAGCAAGAATTAGAGCATCATCAACCCATTCATTTGCTGTAATTTTGAGAAAATTTCAACTAAATTTGCTAGTTTCTCTCTGTAACAGATAAATAAAAGAATCTGGGGGAAAAAGAAAAAGGTAAATCAAAGAAAATGGAGAGCAGGAATTGGCAGAGAATAATTAGGTAGCACAAGAATGAAGGTAGCAACACAGTGCTGACAATATTACAGAGCCAAGAGCATTATAAGTTTGTTTGTTTAACTACTCAAGGATTAATAAAAAATGAAACAAAATGTACGTGAGTAAAACGACAAATAGAATAAAACAAAAAAAAATCTATCTTGGGGTAACAGAAGACTTACAAGGACGCTTTTTGGATGATTTCGTCATAAACAATGTTGTATATAGAATGATCATCACGGTTGGCTAGTGTGGACTGTCGGATCAGTACTTTGACGCAACTTGAACTCTTTGCTCTCGATAAGGCAACATAAAATTGACCGTGTGAAAAAACAGGTTCTCGCAAATATATTCCGATGAAATCCAGAGTTTGACCTTGTGCTTTATTTATAGTCATAGCATAATCTTACTGGGAATTCTGTTCTCTTAAATTGAACTGGTATTCTTTGTCCTGTGACGATAATAATGGTATTCTTGGGATAAATACGTGCTTATTTTTAAAATCGCTTGTCACGATCTTAGCATTGATAATATGTGTTTTAATATCACAATATATCAATCGTGTACCATTGCATAAACCGTCATACGGATTCAAATTATGCAGTAATATAATGGGGCAACTTTCGTTAAAGTTAATTTGTAAGGAGGAAAACCAGCAGGATTTAAACTGTGTAATAGGTCTTCAAATTGACTTTGATCATTTGGCTCAACGGTTTCGTCAAAGCCAATAAATGTAGTTGCTTTTTCTGGAAATTTTGCAATAGGAATATCGTTGATTTCATTCACAAAATTATTTTTCGTCGTCAAAACAACGCGAGAATCTGCAAAAAAGGATTAGAGGAGCATGTGTGTACATTTGAGAATGTCAGAGTGAATAAATGGTTCAGAGATTCTTCTTCAGTTGTAAAAGGAATAATTATAGAATCTGGAAGTTCAAGTTTGTTATTAGTGTTGACCCTCTCTTGTCCATTTTCAATTCTCATAAGGTAATCACAAAAGGCAGGATCTGTTTTTGCCCTCATGTTTTCGGACAGTTGTAATTTTTCAAGTTCGTCCCAAATGGTAGAATATAGCAAACTTTTACTAATAAAATCTTCTTTTTTTCCGTTTCGAACAACTGGAAGAGTTTGTCTAAAGTCACCTCCAAAAACAACAACTTTTCCCCCAAATAGAATATTTGTATCCATAAGATCTTTTAAGAGCAAGTCAAAAACATCAAGCATTCTTTTTTTAGCCATAGATACTTCATCCCATACAATTAATTTTGCATCACGAATCAGACCTGCAGTTGAACTTTGTTTGCTGATGTTACAGCTGAAATTTTCATCAATGTCTATAGGTATTTTAAAACGTGAATGTGCAGTTCGCCCACCTGGAAAAATAGCAGCAGCAACGCCGGAAGTAGCAGTTGCTAGAGATATGTATCATTTACTACGTACAGTTGCTAATAAAGCACGGTATAAGAAAGTTTTTCCAGTTCCTCCAGGGCCATCAATAAAAAAAGCTCCTAGTTTCTTGAAAAATACTCGGTCAATAATCACATTGTATGCTTTCAATTATTTTGTGTTCAGTTTTTTATGTAACAATATATCTTTTTCACTAACCGTGATGGTTCTTTCAAAAAATACCTCCTTTGCTTCTTTTTCCAATATAGATGGTCGAACTGTTTCTGAGATAAGATCATATTCGTTTACATTATGACCCATAGAGTGTAGTGTAAAACATCATTAATCTGATTTAGAACTTGATATTGAATATCTTTTCTTTCAACATTAGGTAACACTCTGTAATCTTCTGACAATGACTCTTCAAATTGTTTCCATATTTCTTTTGGATTGGCTGGATTGCAATACGTCAATAATGTAGCAAATAAACGCCTTAAACAAAATGGCATTTGATAACTTGCTGCCTCTAACATGCAATCAATTAAACTGTTATCATAGTGTAATAGTCCCCTTTTTTGTGCGGATTCTCTAAAAGAATTATAATGTTCCCCATTTATAGTTCGAAGATCTTTATATGATTTCGGTCCCCTCACATTCAGCAATAGTAGTCTCATATAATATCCTTCTCCTTCAGTTGGGTGACATGTTATGATACGACCAACGGCACAACGTTGTTGTCGTCGTGTCCATGTTTTGTCTGTTGTTGACCATACAAAATGTTCAGGAAATTCTTTGTACAATAAGTTAAGTTTTATGGCATCTTTGTTACTTCTGTTCATCTAAAAAAAATTGTCAACATTGTTTTCTTAATCATTGGATTATTAACGATTGTGTTTATATCTGTATTTCCTTTAAAAGAAACAAATTGTTGCCCTTTAAGATGTAGCTGAAGATGATAAACACTTGGATACATCTCACTAATAGAGAAACCAAATAAACGCCATGCAGCTTCAGGCGGTGATACCCATCTAGCAGATTGATACTAAAAAAGAATTATATGGAACAACCCAAGAGTTATCTAAATACTGCTCCCGTACTTTTACAACTTCTCGTGTGTTTCGTCTTTTATAGATGGGATAAGAATCACTTCCTTTTGTTGTTTGTTCAGCAAAACTTTTTGGATAATTAAATTTACAAAGACCATTCTTTTTATACATGAATCTGTTGGATTCAGATTACCACACGGATCATGCATCATATATTTAAGAACAAGTGAGCGTAACTTTTTATCCAAATTAGCATCTGGTAATTCAGCACTAATAATTCCATCATAAGCCTCTCATGTCAATAACTTATATTCATTCGCTAATATTATAAGAAAATGAGCGTGTGGTAAACCTTTTTTTTGGAATTCAACAGTATACATAAAAACAACAATTTTTCCAAAGATATTTCTCTTGCTTATATCTGTTTTCAGTTCTTCAATTTTAGCTCTGAATACTCGACTAATCAAATCAGGTCTATTTTGTGTTTCATCAGTAGTCCATAGATGTTCTTTTATTTCCGGCCAAGTTGGATTACAGGTCATAATTATAAACAAGTCTGGTTTACCAAAACGTTGTACTAATGCAATAGCATCCATATATCGTTATCGCATATCTCTAGGTCCACCTATAAAGGAAGCTGAAATGAATTTTTGCTTACCAATATTAGAAGAATCTCGTTCTCCAAATCTTAAAATATCTAGAAGACCTTGCAGTATATCTATCCTAAACAAATCTTGGTTAAACGAAGCAAAATCCAATCTTTGGGTTTCAATTTTTATATATTCGTCAACTAAATATTGCTGAAATAGTCTATTAGTATGTAGCAACTCATCTTCATCATCATTTCTCATTTGAAGTTCATAACAGTAATATTCACGAGCAGAAACTGTATCTCTTTTTTTCTTTCCCCTTTCTAAAGTTTGAGATTCCATTTGAAGATATGAATCAAGAGAGCAAAGATTTTGTATGCTCGACAATTGTTGACATTCATGAGTATAACTTCCACGAATAGTTTTTGGTTTAGGAATTTTCTTAATACCATAATGCCACCCATTTTGTCCATATGAAAACAACAAAGGATATTGCAAGGCGTCATAGCATCCATAATAATAGTTCACTATTTGTGTTCTATTGCTTTGAATGTAAATTTGAATATGTGGTGCATGATTTATACTATTGACATTGTTCTCAACCCATATTGCAGCAATTTCTAATGAAGTTGGCAAATTATATACCCGTTGATCTAAACCAGGATCACATTTGAGTCCAATATAGAAGTTTTGTAACTCGGAAATATCTATCAAAGATCGGATAAAAAAGGAGTATGGGTTAACTCTCAATATATCTATTAGCTCTCTCACTATAGATTTATTAACTTTGTTACAGCATGCCATTCTATTTGCTAACTCATTGTTGTTGTCGTAAAAGTACAGTTGTAGATTTCTCGGTTTTTTTTCTCTGGGATACAAGTCGTCTATTAGGTGATACATTCGTCTTTGAACTTTGAAAGTACAGATACCACGATTCCTTCTCGCTAAGTCTGTATCATAGTTTACACCAAGCGATGTAAATGAAAACGAATTATTATATGTTCTGATGTATGTCCGAAAGTGTTGGGATTTTTCATTATTCTTGAAATATAGATCATGTAGCTTAGCGGGCATTCGATGTGAAATTATCTTAATTGTACCGTTGCTACAACAAAATCCAGCAGATTCATATTCAAATCTTTTAGCAGAGCAGAATTTACAGTTGGGAACCTTTTTTAATGGTATATATTCTGATCGTAGTTTAATATTCATAGCAGTTGTGTTATTTTGATTGCGACCTGCATGTTCTAGAAGTTGTAAGGAGTGAAACGGGAAGAAAAAAATAATATTATTCAAAGATGACACAAATACAAACCTCTAGTTATCACTATCTTAGTTGTATCATATTGTTCATTTGGTACAGCTGATGTTGAACCTAACAGATAAAAGTTTTTTAGTGAACAATAGTATGTCTTGTATATTGGCATAAGCTTATGGTAACTTTTAGTAACTTGCCTTTCTCATAAGTGCAAAGAGGATTTTCTTTGTCAAAAGCAGGGAACGATGGAAGGATTGTGACGCCACTATCTACAGATAGGCAACCACAATAGATGTTCACAATATTAAATTTATGATACATATTCATACACACAAAGAAATTTTAGTTGCACTAAATAGTGAAACAGTTGCGCATACTATAGAGATTGCAATATAAAATTGATATACTAACCTGTTTTGGGAGTAGAGCAAGAGTCCTATGTAGTAGTACATTAGAGATGTCCTGATGTTATTGTTATCTCAGTAGGAATGATAGAAGTCGCTCTTTCAAAGGGACTATGTTTCAGCACTTGCTTTGTAGGTACCTCCTGTAATGCTAAGGCACTCTTTTCATTTGCCATCTTAAGTTTATATTGTTCACGTCGTTTAACATTCCGATCTAGACATTTTTTTCCAAAGCATGGACGCTTGTTTGTTTGTCTAGAGCCCATCGATATTCAAATTTCTCGCTCCCAAATATGCGTTGGTGCAAGACCTACAGTGAAAAATTTATTAAATAGAAAACACTTGATGAAAGTCAATATTAATTTGATTTCAGGAACTCAGCTTACCTGATACGGTAGAAACTTTGCCAAAACAAAAATACAAATTAGGAACTATTGAAAACAACATCAACAACGAAATTTTAATTCTGTGACGACCCGACACGTCGTCTCATGAGTTACCGCCCCGTTTCCCCCATTTTATGCTTCTTCATGTTTCACTATCAGTATTTGGCGTGTTAGAGTTGATTTGGATTGGTTTTGGTAGATAATGAGACACTTAGTCTCTTTAAGGAAGACTTAGTTTGGAGAAGTCAACCGGAGGTTGACTTATGAGTTATAGGGCTCGAATATGATTTCCGGTGTTTCGGTTAGCTTCGGGGGATGATTTGTGACTTAGGAGCGTTATCAGAATTAATTTTGGAGGTCCGGTGTAGAATTAGGCTTGAATTGGCGAAGTTAGTATTTTGGTGAATTCCGGTCGATGGGTGAGATTTTGATCCGAGAGTTGGAATGGAATTCCAAGAGTTGTTGTGGCTTCGTTAGGTGATTTTGGATATGTGTGCAAAATTTCAGGTCATTCGGACGTCGTTTGGTCAGGTTTTTGATCGAATGCGTGTTTCAGAAGTTTTTGAAGAACTTAGGCTTAAATTCAATGTAATTTGTTGATTTTGGTGTTAGTCGAGGTGGTTTGATGATTGGAACAAGTTTGTATGATGTCTTGGGTTATGTTGGTGCTTTTGGTTGAGGTCTCGGGGGCCTCGGGGTGATTTCGGATGGTCAATCGGACCAATTTCGGCATTTGGAAGTTGCAGATTTTCCAGTCATTTTGTTGCAGAGATTTTGGTCATTGCGATCACGGGGGTGATGTCGCAATCGCATAGAAGTAATTTGTGAGGCGGGAGTTTTGTTGAACGCAATCGCAGAAGGTTCTCGGGTAAGGCATCGCATTCGCATGGTGTCTTCCGCATTCGCGTATAAGGATTTTGAGGCCCTGTGGTTTGGTTCTTCGCGATCGCATCAGTGTGGTCGCGATCGCATAGATATGGGAATGTGGTCATCGCGTTCGCATAGTGCTTTTTGAGGCTTTGGAAATTTTACTCATCGCGATCGCGAGCCTGGGGCCACGATCGGATATAAGGTTTTACTGTAGCTGGGCAGAATGTTTTAAGTCATCTTGTTCGCATTTTTGGGTCTATTTTCACCCATGACTGCCCGTTTTTAGAGATTCTTAGAGGAAATGAAAGTGGGATTCAAGAGGAATTGACTTGAGGTAAGAATCTTGGTCTCAATACTCGATTATATTGTGCAACTGGCCTAGAAATCATGGAAATTAAGCCAAAAATTGATGAACTAGGGCTTGAGTTTTTGATATTCCAATTGGGATTTGATGGGTCATTTGAGCTCGGATTTGAGAGTTCTTGGTATGTATGAACTCGTGAGAAGATGAGGAATCTATTGATGTTAAATTTTCTGATTTCCGAGAAGTGGGCCAGGGGCTCGGGTTTTGCTAATTTCGAGATTCTTGATATTTTTCGATTGTTTTTGATTGGGTATTGTTCCCTTAGCATATTGTGATGTATTCGCTCTGATTTTGGTTAGATTCGATGCGCGTGGAGGCCTATTTGAGGGGCAAAGGCATCACGAACTAGAGATTTCACCGGTTCAAGGTGAGTAATGCTTGTAAATGATATCCTGAGAGTTTGAAACCCCGGATTTGCACATCGTAGTGCTATATTGAGGTGAGACATGCGCTTGATAATGAGCGCGGGTCGTTTACTATTGGGGATTGTGACTTGGTCCATCCCGAGTGATGCTTCTACTGTGTATTTGATTAAAGCTTATTTGTTATCATCATTATTTGGACTGACTGTCATATTTGGGCTTCTTGCCAATTCTTTGAACCCTCCAGGGATTTATTTACTATTTCCTCACTGTTTGACTTACTACTTGAACTTAGTCGTACCGTTTTCTACTGTCTTACAACTCAGCCACTTTTACTCGATTTTTGAAACTAAAAGATATACTAAATGATGTTTTGGGCTGAGAACTACTATTTTACTATTGCCCGAGGAGCTTATATGATTTCTGGACTAAGTACGACCAAGGGCCAGAGGTGAGGATACTATGGGATCGGGCGTCGCAGCAGTGTTATACTGATATTGATATGAGGCTGAGGGCCTAGATCTGATGCCACGAGATGGCTTGATATTGCGCTTGGGCCGCAAGGGGCCCCTCCTGGAGTCTGCACACCCCCAGTGAGCGTCGTCAACGTTAAATGGACCGGGCTGCATGCCGCAGCGGGTACTAGAGTGTACCGACATATGCATTGCATTGCACTCATGCTTTTATTCATTATCTGTTGTTGTGCTACTTCTTGAAAATCTTTAACTGCTGTTCTGGTATTATCTGAGCATTGAGTGTGGGGCCCGAGGGGCAGATTTCTGTACTTATCTGCACTATTGCTACTGCATTCATTTGCGTAACTATTGAAAAAGACATTTTTAAAAGAGTCTTTAAACTGAGCTAAAAGGTTTCTTTAAAGATTTCATATCTTCACTGTTTTTCTCAAAAAGGATTTTTCTCTGCTTTTATACGGCATGATGATCTGCTATATGTGATTTCCTACCGCTCAGTTGTTATTTACTTTTATTACTCACTGAGTTGGAGTACTCACTTTACTCCCTGCACCTCGCGTGCAGTCGCATGTATTTATTCACCCTGTTGCGGGTATTAGCTGCGTGGAGGCAGAGTTGTAGAGATTATAGCGAGGTGACTGCCAGCGTTCGCAGCACCACTGTCTTCCTATATTTGTTCATTATTCTTGTTCAGTGTATTTCTAGACTATAAAGTGGAAATTTCATTCTTATAGAATGCTCGTGACTTGTGACACCCCGATTTGGGTTGTGCTTGGGCTGTATTTCCACTAATTATTAATATTTAATCATATTTAGACTGTTTATTCATGTTTTACTATTTTTGAAAAGGCAAATCTGAGTAGTTTGGCAGGCCTTGTCTTCACGAGAG